GCTCCGGGCAACGTCAAGTTGTTCGAGACTAGCAACCGATTCTTGAACACGGGTAATTCTCTCGACATCGGTTGCGCTTAGATCCCTCCGCTGTTTGTGGCAGAATCGTTACGCAAGTAAGGCAACCTCTGACGAGTTTCAGCCTGTGAACTCGTCTTATATAGACACGAGTCGAGTGACAAGAAATAATAAGAAGGGAACGCGCAATACAATCTACGAGAAGACGAATGTTTGTCACGATGGCGAAGGGAAATTGTTTTTCTTATTCCGAGTTCCGAATCCAATACGGACGAATGTAAATCGCGAAACGATTATCGTCGCGACGAAGCCACTTCCACGACGACGACGACGACGAGGACGACGACGAGGACGACGATTCAAGGATTTATAGAATTCAATTCGAAAGTAATAAAAAAGTTTCGCTCCCTCGTCCGCGCTTTTATCTGATCTAACTTTCCCTAAATAGGGGATGAAACGATTTTAGAGGGGAGGGATTTTAAAGCCACGAAAACGCAGTCGTTGTCTGCCATGTAATCCATCGTGAGAAATAAGCTAGTTCGCTTCGGGGAGGGGAAATTGATCGTTTCGAGGGAATGGATTTTAATATTTCCACTCGGAAGGGAAATATTTTCCATTTCCCTGACAGACAACGTCGTTGAAACATTATCGGGATGAGTTATCGAACAAACGTAATCCGTTTCGTAACACCCCGAAAGGGAGGCGATGCAAAAGCGGCGGCATTGCATTTAGAAATTGAGTTCGCTTCTCTGGCAAGGTTGAAGGCTCGATCGTATCTCCTCCATTTTCTGCTTTCTTACGTCCGAGCCGGGACGTCCTCTTAAGAAAATCTTTTCAAAGATACGCTGCCATTTTTATCGAGAGACAAGCGATCTCAGCGAAGCTGGCGGGACCACGAAGGCGAGGCGCGAAACGGACGGAAAAACTTCCCTTTTGTGCCCCGTGAAATCGTCGTTTCCGATGAAGCGAATCTTTTGTCTCTCAACACCTATCCACGTCACGATCAACCATTATCCTCGTTTCTCGTTAAAAACTAACCAAGATTAATTTCAACCTCTTCGACGTTTCGTGATTTTGAGAATTGAAAGAAGAAGAAGAAGAAGAAGAAGAAGAAGAAAGAGAAAATCGATTCGAGGGAGAATAAAATTCGATTCGATTCGAGTGTCGCCGTTACGATTGATGATAACATCGTCGTTCACCGACAACCCTCCCCTCGGTTAAAACAAGGGAACGCACGACTTTATGAATATGTAAAGTACGTTAGAGGCGTTGCCAGCATACGAAACTGTTTGCACATCGTATCAAATATTGACAGTGCTCCGGCAAATTTATTCACCGGCTGAAATAATGTATCGCGCGCCGCCCGATAAAATCGAATGTCCCGCGCCCGCCTTAACACACCGCCCTGACACACCGGATGCATCATCCGGGGAGGGATCGGCCTCGCTTGCCGAGCCAAAAATCTCGATCCAGCAAATTTGTACACCGATTAAATCCATCTTCGCCTCGTTTGATCCCTGTACTCGATAATGTTTCGCGACAAACAGCGTGTCGCTTTTCATCTATCTTGCGGCCGACTAACGTTGATCGAGGATCGTGCGCGAAAACAAACGCAACGGTAGGGAAATCGCCGTGGAAAATTATCGAAACTTATTTTTCTGAGGATATTTTGAAGTTCATCTTCAGAGCTTTTTTTGACAATAATCGTAAACTATTTTCATCTTAAACGTTGAGGATTTGAGATCGAAGAGTAATGATAGGGAAATCACCGTTGAAAATTTATCGAAGCTTATTTTTCTGAGGATATTTTAAAGCTCATCTTCAGTGCTTGTAAACTATTTTCATCTTAAATGTTCAAGATTTGAGATCGAAGAGTAATGATAGGGAAATCACCGTTGAAAATTTATCGAAACTTATTTTTCTGAGGATATTTTATTAAATTATATATTTTAAATTATATATATTTTAATTATATATTTTATTAATTATTATTTTATCTTCAGAGCTTTTTTCGATTAAGTCGAGTGATCGTACACTCTTTTCATTCAAACAACATCGAGGATTTGAGATCGAAAAGAAACGCAATGGTAGGGAAATCACTACTTGAAAATTACCGAAACTTATTTTTCTGAGGGTGCTCGTAGAGTTGGATGACAAATGTCCTTACCTTCGGAGCTTTTAACGGTGGTCAAGTGGTCGTAAATTATTTTGACCACCCCTAAAGACTCGTAGGTACTCACACAGATCGGTGAGAAGGAGAATCCTTCAGAATTCGAGCGTTGTTGTACGAGGGTGTGAAACTAAAGGTCTCGAGCGTATTTTTCATGGATGGGTAAAATGCTGCATCGAAGATGATCTGGGATATTAATTATTTAAAAAAAAGACGGAATGGAAAACAAGTGGAAAATAATATTCTTCTTTCGCCTTTCGGCGCGGGTTACGAGCCGAACGAACTCGTTTCAAAGACGGAGGAAACATTTTCCTCGATGGCGTTGGACAAAATACGAAGTGACGGCCATGTAAAAAAAGGCGGCTTAATAAAGCGCGAGATAAAATTGAGGATGTATCTCGGGATAAGCAACGCGGTTCGTTCTGGAAAAATATTTCAGGAGCACGGGACAATGTTACTTGGAAGAAACACGATGGGATAAACGGGTACACAGGACGATTTCAAGGGAATAAGACGGGAGAAAGGGGATCAAAGGAGAGGAGAGGTCGAGTAACGGGAGAAGTAATCAGAGGGAAATATAGCGTAGCGAAGAAAAGGGTGGAAAAAGAAAAGGGACGGTTAAAGTGGAAGTCTGAGTGGAACGATGTAGAAAAGTTGTATCGAAAAAAACGAACAATTGTACGGATATGAAGAATTATCGCGAGAGATTGCGTTTCATTAAGAATTCTCGTTTATTTCGAATTAACCCTTTTTTCTTTTTTTTCCTTTTCTTTCTTTTTTTTTTTTTTCGTTTGTTTTCATTCTTGCTATACCAACTTTTTCCCTTTCGTTGCGTTCTTCGTTTCTCGGAATACTCAGATATATATAATGATAATTTTAGACGATTCGTTGTAATATCGACGAGATAATTCTCGATAAAAAAAAAAAAAAGGAAAAATTTGCCGAAGAAACGACCACAGGAGAGAAAAAAGGTGGTTTCTCAAAGTGGTTTCTTCACCACCTCTTTCGAAACTTTGTTTGTCCGAGTGAAAAACAAAAAGGAGGAACACAAAAGAAAACGAGCGAGAGACACAGAGACGAAGAATCACATCGCGTGCTCGTATTTAATGTACGTTTCCTTTTTTCTTTCTCTCTCTTTCTCTCTCTTTTATTAAAAGCGATAAAAAGACGAATCGAATCACACCCCCCTTTTGCGGTCTCTCCTCTTTACAGAATCGCGCGACTCGATTAATAAAGGGGCAAGAAGAAAGCAGAGAGAAGAAGTAAGTGAATTAAATATTTAATCAGCTCTGTTTCTCCGTTTGTAATTTCATTGGTGGCAAGCCGTGGTGGGACCGTGATGGAGAGGTTATACACGTATAAAATTTCCGTTTCCCCCTCCCCTAGGCTCCCCTCCTCCCCCGAAGGTTTGAATTTAATCGCTTTTAATACCATCCATTAAAATTTCTTTCTATTGCCGAGATATTTGCCGCGAATATTGAATTTTAATAAGATTTTTAACGACCGCTATATCCGGCTATTAAATCTATCTATCATTCTCGGCCGGCAAAAGAGAAAACTTGATCTCAAATCCTTTTCAAATTCTTCCGCACGTACGCTTCCCGCGATTTTAATTGCAAAACCCAAGACATCTCGTTTCGTAGATTCGACCGTTTCTCGTCGGTGTATCGATCCCTCCTCCTTCCCCTCCCTTTGTGCCGGCCAATTTCGTCGATGAAAAACGGGATGAAGGGGAGAAAATCGGATCGCCCCGTTTGAACACTATCGCTCAAACAGGGGCGGTAACGCGCCTGATTTGTTGAATTATGACCGAGGCCGTTGTCCCGCCACAGCGATCATGGCCACGTGTGCTCCAACCCCTGGTATTAGCATACCAGATCCGATTGACGTACTCGGCTCGCGTTCGTCAACCCTCGTTTTAATTACCTCGAACGCGATACGATAGCCACGTATGATACTTGCCGTCCAAAGTTTTCGTCCTTAATTGTTCAAATGAATCTTAACAAATTTTAACGAATCGATCGAGAACATGGAACGTTTTCGAATTTCCTTTACGATAATTTTCGATAAATTTACGAACGGACGAAAATGGAAGATAAGATTTAATCATACCACGTCGTGATCAGGCAAGTAAGAATAACGCGATCCCATCTTATTCTTCTCCATTCTCCACATGATGATTCGTAATTTTTGTTCGAATCGGTTTAAAGGAAGGTCGAACGAGGAGGGAGGGGGGGTCGTTTCCATTTCAACGATGCAGCGCAACGCACGATTTTGACCACTTACGACGAAGCTTTAACGAGAGTTCAGAAATGGAGGAGGCACAGCTGGTCGCTTCCTTGCAACAATTTTCCACGGTTCGGCCATTAAATCGAAACGACCTCGAGCTAATGTCCTCGTTTTTACCGCGGCCGAAAGATACTCCTCGTAACACAAGGCGGTTCGGTTTTGCCCGAGGAGAACATTTTCATTTACCCGCTGATGAGTTGCGCGCGATACACCCCTCGAAAATACACTCGCCTCGAATCCTCCCCAACACCGGATATATTCGTAATTAACTAACTGCACGCTACGCCTCGCCGCGCTAAACTTTTCCGCGCAACTTGTTATCACGAGTTGTTGCGTACACGATGATACGACGAGTTAGAATCCTCCGGACAAACTTGGCCGGATAATCCTTTTAACGTGGCGGCGTGAAAAGTTTGTACAGAGCGAGCCCCCCTTTGAAAAATGGATGTTTAAGGATGCGAGACGCGCAACTATCAAGTGTCAGCGGTGGCGATCGATCAGCGGATAATTTTATTGATTACAGCTGGCGCGAGGGACGGTGGAGGAAGGAGATACCCGGTGATCGTGTTCGTGCACGGGGAGAGCTATGAATGGAGCAGCGGCAACCCTTACGACGGCAGCGTATTGGCGAGTTACGGGGGTGTCGTCGTCGTCACTATAAATTACAGACTCGGCATTTTAGGTGAGTGATTACCAGCGCTCCACTTTACCCCCGCTTTACTTTAATCTCTATCCCAGAGGGTTGCTGCAATTTCCCTCATAATTATCCACCCTTATTGTTGTTATTCTTTCATCCTTGCACGCTGTCACGCGGCCAAGTTGTGAAAACTTGTCCTCCTCGATTACAATCACCGTTTCCTCTCGAACGATGACCCTTCGAAGAATCATCCTCGATCGGGAAATTTCGTTAGACGTCGAGAACCGCATCCTCGTCATCGAGAAGTGTCCGACCAAGAAAATTCCGACGGGCAACCCACGAGGAGACGAGGCGACGCTCGAATTAATCTCGATCCCTTCTCTCGATCGTCAGCGAGTTAAACTTTGTCACCCAGTTTCTGGAAATTCAGCAGCGAGGGAGGCGAGGCCGATCGTTAACCGCTTCGAACGTTCCCCTAATTACGTGCGTGTAGAAGTTGGCAATTGTAGGAACCGGGTTACAAGAGCCGTGGATGAGGCCGGCCGGTAGTCATTAGCATAGCGACCCTGCACCTCCGAACGGTTCAACTAATTACACCTGTCCTTCTCTCCGCCTATTGTCTCACCGGTGAAGAACGGAGGAAGACGCTCGTCGACGGGTATCGGGAACAGTTTCGAGACAGTTATTATTACTCGAATTATTCTGTGAGAGAACATAGTCTTCGATTTAAAACTCGAGCGTTTGCAACGCTTCCTTTCCAATTTCTCTTCCTTTTTTCGAAGGAAAAAATCATCAAAAAGAAGCGTCCCCAGTCGAAGCATTTATGCTGCTCGGCCATTAAATTTGCAGCAGCGATTCTCGTCGCTCGCGTCAAGAGCAACTCCTTTGAAGGAAGGAAGGAAGGAAGAAGAAAACGGAAGAAAAAGCAAAGTGCAGCGTATTGCTTACGTGGCGGATGGAGAGAGAGAGAGAGAGAGGAGGGAGGAGTACGAA